GGTTCTTCTCTTTATCCTTGGGAAAGGATAAAGAGAATGTATCTTGGAACGTATTTTCTGGGGTTTTTGTCGTCCTTGGATTTCCATTCTTAATACTACATAGAAAGTAATGACATTGTCAGGAGTGTCTCATCTTCTTTGAGTGCTTAGAGCACATATACGTACACGGAGAAACTTATATGGAAAGAAATTGTGTACATCTCAGCAATTGCTAGTGCTATAATGGTCTTTTAGCATTGTAGGCTGTTGAGGGGGAGGAGGGGGTGTTAAGCTATTTCATAGCTTGGGATGAAGAATACAGCTGAAAATCTGTACAGTACCATTTAAGAATATTGAGGAATGCTTCTGAATATCTTTAGAGAGAAAAAGCTAAAAAGAATACTGTTAGCATGTGGATTAAACCAGAAGGGAAATATGGGTAGGTGGAATTTAACTTTGGGTGCTCATGCAGAGTTTAACCTTGTGTTATTCATTGATTCTAAATTACTTTCTTTCTAAAAACTCTCCTATTTATTAATAATGATCTGAGGGATAGATATTAGAAAAGACACAGACAGACCTGGTCAAGAGCATTGTTTAACACACACCTGGCTTTTTTTTAAATGATTGTGGTTATTTGTGACCTTTTGTAATTTTGTCAGAGTAACCAAGATGTAGTGTTCAGAAGTAATTTAATGTGAAATTTTTGGTACTGCACTTTTGAACATATAGTTCACAAAGACTATAAATTCTCTGAGCCTCTTTTTCCCATCCCTTCCCAAGATGATAACATTTAAATGCAGTATTTGAGAGAAGTATATACACATACCTATATATATAAATATCTGTCATTTTTAAAGTGGGGCTTTGATTCTGTGTCTTACATTCACGTAGAACATGCTACAAATCTATTACATAATTCCAGGTGAAAATAACTTCAGAATTTTTCACACAAAGTGGAGATGTAGTAAAAGTATATGAGAGTTCTGTATTTGGAGAGCCTTGCAGGACACTGATGAAGTACTTGCATTAGATTTTAACTCTTAATAATTACAAAAAATTTGAAAACTATGAATAGGCGTAACGTATATGACCTTGACTGAAGTTTGTCCTTCTCTGTGAAGTGCAGGACTCAAATCTAGAGGAAGCTTTGATCACTCTTTTATTAAATTCCCTTTTTATTGCTCGTGTCATTTTCCATTCAGATGAGGAGTAGTATCTTGAAATTTTTGCATGCTTATTACAGCCAGATTGTCTGAAATGAGCCAGGAGTGTGCATAGACACCCTTTGAATTGTGCTGTTCACCTGTCTTTTCCCTTCTCCCTTGATTTATGTTCTTCACTTTCTGGAGTGGAAATGTACATAGCCAAGTACACAGGCATTCACAAATACCTCTGTATCTTCCTAATTAGAAGTGAAACTAGCATTAAGTAGATTTCATAATTGCAAGTTTATAAAATGTATATGAAATCCTATACTAGTTTCTATGTGATTTTATGATGATTGAACTTAATTGTTATTCACAGCATATTCACAGTGGTTGAGGCCTGTTCATGTTCTGCAGTGTTTAATATCCATCATAGTTTAAACCTAGGCAAAGAACTGTAACAAAATCATCCTCATAAATGCAATTTTGAAATGTTTATATTGTTATGTAATAGAAATGTTTTACTGTATCTGTGTATTTGTGACGACCGATGTTTTCCGCCTTTCGTGTTTTTACCTCCTAAATCTCATTATATGACAGGTTAAGATATTATTGCTTTAAAATACTAGTTTTCTTAGAATAAATTGTCACACCTAAGGTCACGGGAGGTTGGTAAGGACCTTCTGTGTCCTTACCTCTTCCACTGAGATCTGCAGAGAAATTTCTCTGTATGTTGCATGTTAGGATTTCTTCTGCTGACAGGTGACAATGTTATCAAGTATGTCTTCCACAATGATGCCTCAATGTTTTTTTAAAAAATCAGTCATAAAATAACATTATCTGCTATAAAAATGGCAAAATCAAATTTTAATGCCGATGTTTAGCTCAACATTTTTCTATTCTCACCTTTTAAATTGAATTAGTACTGAGGAAATAATTTTTTATGAATTGCCTTTCTTCATATAGAATAGTTTTTGAAATCTATGAAAAGCATACATAAAAAGGGAGGAGAAAAGACCATTGCTTTTTTCAGCAGATTTTGAAACTTTGTAGCACTGCCACTTTGACATGTATTTGATATGTATCTTATAATTGAAATATTTAAATCCATTGTAAATTTGTTCTTTTTTTTTTTTGTAAACCCACACAGCATTTGAGAGATCTGATATTATCATATTTTTTTATTTCAGTCACACTGGTTACTATTATTCTGTATTCTGAGTGTTCTAAATATCTAGATTTCTTCATGACTGATGTAACACTTCTGAGATCCAACTTACAGCATTTGCAGGCTAATCACAAGAATCAAATGCACTGGAGCTGTACAGTACTTTGGAATTTTCTCCCTTCATACCAAATAGTGTATTTGCTAAGCGAAAACCTGCATTGTCTTGGTAAGACAGATGTACAGACAGACATAGATTAGCCTTGCAGTATCAATTCACATATCTAGTATCTGTAGCTTGCAGAGTGACAACAGGTAAAAGAAATGATATGTGCTCATGGTGCATACCTTGAATTAATGGAGTGTTTCTTTAGCTTAATTCAACAGTGTATGACTTTGTCTTCAATAATATTGTAGTGGAGATAAGAACTATATGTAAATGTGGTAAATTCACCTTAGCCAGCTGTGAGACCTCTACCCAGCTATGCTTTTTCTCTCCCTCTTCAACAGCACAAGGAGACAAAATAAGATTAAAAAGTTCACTCATTGAAATAAAGATGGGAGATCCCTTGCCAGTTACTGGCACTGGCAAACTAGGCACAATTTGGGGAAAATTAATTTACTTTATTGATATTTAAAAGCAGAATAGGATGGCAAAAAATATGCTGCCCCACCCCCCTTTCCTCAGGCTCAACATCTTCATTCCCATCTCCTGTATCTTCTCCTCCCTGAGTGGTACAAGGGGGTATGAGGAATGACAATGTGTCGACTGTGGTTCCTCTCTGCCATACGTTTCTTCTCACACTTTCTTTGTGCTGCTCTGTGGGTCCTCTCTGTGGTCTGCAGCCCTTCAGGATAAATCTGCTCCAGCATGGGGCTTATGTGGGCATTAGTTCTTCTAAGGAGAATCTGCTGCAGTGTGAGCTCTCTGCAAGTGAGCATTTCTTCAACAAATATCCGGCTTGCTCTGGAGTGGTCATCTCCAAGGGCTTCGGGTAACTGCCTCCTTTATCATGGTCCTTGTTTTCCATGTGTTCCTCTCTGTCCTTGGTGCCTGGAGCACCTATTTCCCTCTTCTTCTTTTCTGACCTTAGAATTTCTAGTGTTCTTTCTCACATTTTTACTTCTACTCCTCACTGCCTGGGCCATGTTTTGCCCTTTCTTAACTATGCTTTCACAGAAACACCACCTGCTTCACTGGTGAATTCAGCTGTGTCCTGCAGTGGGTACATTGCAGAGCAACCCTGACTACTTCTTTCTGACATCAGCCCTGCAGCCATCCCCAGAGCCAAAACCTTGTCACCAACATCCAGTGTAATAAGATGGAGAGAAAGAACGTAAGGGATAAAAACCAGATCCATAAGGACTGAAATTTATTTTGGTTTGTTGCGCTCCTTTCTGTGGTTAACTTCTTTATTTCTTTTAGTATCAGATCAACTACAATGAAGTTCATTTGTGACTGTCACTTTTCTAAACAGTTTCAATAGAGCACTTTTATGAAAGACAAACTGAAGGTATTATGAGGAGGATGTAGAGTGATTTTTTGATCACTAAAGAACACATACAGGGAAATCAAGCTTGTGTTTTTAAACTTTTGAAAGAAGGAAGGGGGTGAAGAGCAGTGCAGATGAATGGAGTTTTGGTGTGTATATAGGGTTTAGGATGCTAAAAATACCTTTCTTACATTAGAGAACACATGATGTACTTTGTCTTCTCACCCATTATTTTTGAATAATCTAATTTTTAAAATTCTGCAAAAGTATTTTTTCCCTCTTACCTGTTTACTGAACAGCCTTGGTTTAGATTCAAACTATAGTTGAAGTGATGGGAAGGTCTTCTGTCTGAAATTGTATCTTGTACATATGGGCTATGTTCCTCTCTAAAAGAAGTCTGTTTGCAAGGTCTTGCATATCTCTCCTCTCACCTAGTGACAAGTACTGATTGATTAGCTACTTATTTCTTAAATCATCAGGCACATAATTTGCTAAACAGTGTGAAATACTTTAGTACTTTTGTTCCTGGGTGACAATTTGAAGGCCTTGATTGTGCGATAGCCAACATGTGCATTTAATTTTCAGCTACTGAACATCACCTGGCTGCCTGGACCACTCTGATATTTGCTGGCTATTATTTTTCATATTTTCACCATGAGGTATCTTCTTGAGTCCTTGTCCACTTTCTCATGTAGTTTTGTATCTTACATTGATTAATATTGATTAGTACTGGTGCCTTGAAGAAAGATTGGGTACTTCTACAGAAGCTATGATATCACCTTGGCTGAAGCTTAACAGGAATCTAAAGAAATATTATTACTTGTAATTTATCTGTCTATTCAGAAAACAGCTAAATGCTTCTCAATTTTATGAACTTTGAGTAAACAATTGATTTTGAATGGTCAAGGGGTCCAGACTTTTTTTTCACAAATAAAATACTACGATTTCAAAAATATGAGGAATTCTGATTTAATAATGAATGAATGAAAATTCAGTTTCATGTGAGTTTTAAAAATAGTGTATTAAAAATTCTTTTTGTCTTAACCAGAGTTATATTTCCTTTTATAGTGGTGTAATAATATAATTTTCTGAGATGGCATGTCTAAACATTTTTTGTGGTCTTTGGCAGCATAGAAAACTGTGGTAATTTAAAATTGAATTATAACAGTTTTTTTAATGATGTACTAAAGTTAACCTTATATTTTATTATTTCAGTTGTTCATGGTGGACAATGGAGCAGATGACTGGAGAATAGCCATGACTTATGAGCGTATTTTCTTTATCTGCTTGGAAATACTGGTGTGTGCTATACATCCCATACCTGGGAATTACACATTCACATGGACAGCCCGGCTCGCCTTTTCTTACGCTCCATCCACAACAACAGCTGATGTGGATATTATTTTATCTATACCAATGTTCTTAAGACTTTATCTTATTGCCAGAGTTATGCTTTTGCATAGCAAACTTTTCACTGATGCCTCATCTAGAAGCATTGGAGCATTAAATAAGATAAACTTCAATACCCGTTTTGTTATGAAGACTCTAATGACAATATGTCCAGGAACAGTACTGTTGGTTTTTAGTATCTCATTATGGATAATTGCTGCATGGACTGTCCGAGCTTGTGAAAGGTAAGGTTGCTTTTTTTTTTTCAGTTCTTTCTGTTTGTCTTTCTATTTTTCACTCCTGTTTTGTCTCTTACATTTTGATTTCAGGGGACCTAAACATTGTTTAGAATGGAGCTCCCTAGTGCTTGATAATTTATGTGTTGGTTGCATTGTATTCTGTGACAGTCATTGTCAGGAGTGATTTGCCTCTTAATCTGGTGGACCTCTGCAAAGAGATCTGTGCCTCACTGTTTACTTGTAGCACTACAATTTCATTTCAGTGTGCTGACGTATTTAACACACTGGACAGATTCCACAAAATGCCTTTAAGAGTAGTTGTTAATATTATGCATTTATACTATTTTTCATTTATTTTCTTTGTAAGACAAATGTAGTGAGGATAAGATAGAAAAAATAGCCAGGGAAAATGCTTTGGGGGGATACGTAATTTGAGTGTTGTTGTGCTGAAAAAAGAAAGAGAGTGCAAAATGCAGTTGAGTAGTTGGCAAGATCAGTAAAGGGAAACAGGCAGAACACTTATAGTAATATAACCCTTCCAATGAAAATCAGAAGTGCATTTGAGAGTGTGGCTTTCAATTTCAGATAGTTTTCCAACCTCCCTTTATCACAGACTTCAGTGTAGGTAGAGAATAAATGGCTATCAGTGCTGACAACTTGAAACTGAATTTCTCAAACATGGCTTTAAGAAAAAAAAATGGGCTTCTGATTGGAGAGGATTGTTTAGGAATATGAGATAGATTAAGTCTAAGAAGACAATTTAAATCTATAAAAGATTTAATGCCTTGGACAGTTCTTAGATCCTGGAATTGATTTCTCCTTCCTTGAGCTGAAAAATCATCAACAGGCATTTGAGGCATTTCTGCTGCTGTTTGTTGACCATTTTGTTTTTCCTATTCCTTTCCATGTCTGTCCATTTTAGAATCAGTTTGGGAGAGTTACTTGTGACAGCTAAATGATTCAAGTCAGCAATAAATAATCAAACACTGTTGTCCATTTTTAAGTTATTCCTTGCATTCCTTTTCAACTTATAAGGAAAAATACCTGATCTTATAAAATGACTGTAGGGATCACGTTTTTGTAGTTTTATTGTTAAAATTTCTTTGTATCAGTATTGTTTCCTCATATTACAGCTAGATTAGTAGTTTAAGAATATTCTGAAAATACGATGTTAAGACATAATGACATATTAGAGTTTCAGAATATTCCCCATAGTGGCAGTGAAGAAGTACCCTAGATTTTGACTCAATCTGTAGTAGCTGTATTTTCATAAACATGTTCTTGTTTCAGATGTAACTGACTTCTGCAAAGTCTCTCCTCTTTATCTCATATTCTCCACTTCTCTTCCCACCAGTTTTCTTTTAATACAATTGCTGCTCAGGAATTCTTGAGTGTCTACTCAGGCATTTCCCAAACTGTTGGTTTGAAGGGGCTCTGAATAACTTCAGCATCCATTGCTGTCATCATTGCATATAACTGCTTGATGATGACGATGATGATGGTGATGATGATGAAATAAAAATTTTTTATTAACCTTTTTATACACGTACTAGCTAGTACAGCTCAGTGAAAATTACTGAAAAATATTTGCTACTGTCTGATACATGTCTGCAAAACATGTTTATTTGTTAGTTTACAGATTGCGGGACAAGAATGTATAGTATATAAGCAACACTAAAAATAAAAGAAACAATGACCACCTCACTGATTTTTCAGTCAGGGGAGTGAAGACAACACTCCCATAAAGTTTTGATTTTTCTTAGTTTGCTTATTTATATTTAGAAATTGACACACTTCTGCATCACTGTTGTTCTGGAAAGAAGATTATTTATTTGGTTAGGTACACTGAAGTCAGGGCTGCAAAAAGCTGAATTTTCTTCAAGTATCTGCTAAGTTAGTAATAGATTTCCCACATTTTATTTTGCAGTTGCTCTCCTTGAATTGACTATAATAGTTTGGACAGTAGGCTGAATAGCCACAGACTCCTTTAAATTGAAGAACAACACAACACAACTAAAAGCAGGTTAAATATAAAAGTTAGTACTCGGTTAATATATCTCTAGCATAATTGCCTTCTCTTCCTGGCTTCCAGTCCAAGATTCATATTTTAACAAGAAAAAAAAAGTTAATTTTATCTTTCAGAAACATTAAAAAGAATATATTTTGGCTTTTGGAATTAGATACTTAAGTCATTCACGCTAGTTGCACAGCCAGTTTTTTGTGTTTTTCTTCCAGTTTTCCCTTGAGGGAATATGTAAGTATTTTGCCAAACAAATTATACTGACCCTGGATTCCAGTTACTAGTCAGCCCATCAGAACCATTTAAATCCATAGCCCATATAGAAGTATGTGGTAAGAAAGAGTTCTCAGAAGAAAACCTCAAAACCCCATATATTGGAATGCTCCTAATATTCTGCCATCTGAAGTTAAGCATCCCTTTTTTGCAGAGTTGGAGGCAGATACAATAGTAATTTATCACGAGAAAGGACAATTATGGCCACTGAATATTTTCTGTTCTGTGTAGAAATCATAGTCCTCAGAAGACGTCTCCCAAGGTCTTTATGCATTTGAATTGCTTAGGTGTTAAAAGTTTAGTTTACACAAATGAGATACACTTTTTCCCAGCTACTCTTGACTTTTTTCTTAGTTTTAACTCAAGAGAACCTTTTTTTTATTTTAAGTAGACTATTTTTGTACACAAAATGATCCTGAAAATAAATTCTATCATTAGGAGTGTTTTCTTTTCCATTTGGCATTATACATGAAAACACAATGAATTTTAATACATCTAACAGAAATTAGGAACTAGGCAGCAGCCTGGTAGCTTTGGTTTAATAAGGGGTAATTTATGTTAATAAAATTTGATGTTGTTAACTGTTTCTTTGCATCGCTCTAGCACCATGCTATAATTTCTCTCATATAGTAGCATTGCATGAGTTTGCATTAGCAGTAGTTCTTTAGTGTATTAATTCATTTAACTGACCATCCAAATTGGAACAAGATGATGGTGATAAGACATAATAGATTAAAATATTAAGACTTGGGATTGGAGAGGAAAGATTCTCCTTCTGTTCCATGTTCTCAGTGAGAAAGGAAGTTACAGTAGGCAGTGCCCTTTATTGTGGAGTTGTGTGTCCTCAGCAAAAGCCGTTGCTGCTGAATGACAACCTGGTGTTCAGATTGTTCTTCTGTTCAGTTAGGTTGTTATTATTGCAGACAATCCTGGGAACAGGAAGGGAGATTGGAAGCCCTGCATTTCATAGGAAGGTAACATGAAAGAGCAGCATTATCCATCTCAAAAGATGACCTGTGGAGACAGGTCATGGGTTGAGCCCGGCAAGTTGGCTGTCTGAATAAAGACTTCACTGCATTAATGGTCATCTGACTGATCACTTGATATACACTGAACTAAGACAGGACATGTGTCTTTCTCGGTGCCTTAATGACTGTATAGTTAGCTCCCAGAATGCTAATTATAGCAAGTGACACTTTGGGTTGGTGAGCAAGGTATTTTCCACAATTGGCGTTTAAGGTCATGTATGAGGGCAGAATGTGGTACAGATAATGGTGGTGGACAGCCAGCTGAGTATAAATGGGTTGCTAGGGCTGCAGAGTAATCTAGATGAGGGAATTTGGAAGGTAAAAGTGGGGAAAGCATCAAGTGTTGCTGTATATATAATGTCTGTTTTGAGGGGAAGATTGCATTGCATGGGTATCATCTGCCTTCTCATTGCCAGTAGCAGTGTATTGCTGTTTTTCATGTGTAGGCTTCATAATGAAAATCTAACTTTTTTATTGGGTCTTACTCAAAAGATGTTTGTGTTTATAATATCTCTGAGGCACATGATCTAGAACATTATGAGTTTATTACTTTCACATTTGAATTATGACCCCCTACAAGCAGATTAATTTTTGCAGTTTCCCATACATATGTTGTTACTGAAAATAGATTTGTGCATGGGCATCAGTTGTTTATTTCAGTTAAAATAGAAAAGTTTGGTTTCTTGAGAAAAAGAAATTAGTATGTTTAACATTAAGTCATTGAAGAGTCTGACTAGAAGAGGAATCTGAGTAAAAGAATTCTACTCTTCTATAGAATGGGTGTCTCATCTGTGAGAAGTGGGCTGCTTTCTAGGTTGTGTGGAAGGTAGCCACTCTTTATGATCTGGATTTTTTGGGTGTTTTTTTTTGTTTTGCTTTGGTTTTTTTGGGTTTTTTGTTTAGTTGGGGGGGTTTTGTGTGTTTGTTTTTGTTTTGGTTTTTTTTATGGAAAGGAAGAAAAAATATTGTTTTCTGAATACACACATGGGTATAATGTGCCTGTGTACCAAGCAATATGAACCACAAATGCCCACATTACACTGTTGTATGACCAGAACACATCCTGTCACATGCCTGGCATTTCTGTGGATTTACAGAGGAGAACTGAGAACAGAACTGGATTTTCTTCTTCTGCAGAGAGCACACTTTTGGCACCATTTGTTGTTCTATTTGTTCATCTCTTTGACTTCTGGCAATGAAGTCAGTTCAGTTAGAGCAGTTTGTTTTAGTCAGCATTTCTCCTTCTTGTCAGTTTCTGCTCTGTAGTCTCTCCTTGTTTTAACAAAAACAAACTCAAAAACCATACACATACGCAAAATCCCATCTGTGTGTGATGGTGAAATCTTTTTCTGCTTTCTGCTCATTCTTGTTTTCTACAAAGAAATGTCTGTCTTATTTCTTGGAAATATGATACCATTACAAAGTTTCCAGTAAGCAGCTCATACATGACAACTGGGAGGCAAATGTTAAGGATTCATTTGATACAAGCTAGTGGATACACTGACACTTCAGTTGTAATTCATGAAGGAAAAAATGTTTCTTAGCTATCTGATTTCCTCACAGTATGTATTATTTCAGTTCTTTACTTATATTGAGGACCTTATCTGATGTCGTATGTTGCATACGTATGTTGACATCCTGTCACATGCCTGGCATTTCTGTGGATTTACAGAGGAGAACTGAGA